ATCCGTATAAAAGTTTTCTCCTTCCTAGTTTCATTCAAACTGTAGTGGTCGAGGAAAATAATTCAAAAAGTCGAAATATTCGAACTGGCTGAACGAGGAACAAAATTAAATTGTAGCGAATAACAGATCAAATTAAATTTTCAATAATTGACCACGCACTCTACATTTTAGATCTTTTCAACAATTAAAAAAGGATTTACGGACCCCAAAGACTTCCTACCAGTGTCACAAAGACAGTCGTAGAAAGCCTATTTAGAAGAACTTATATTATTAAGAAAACTTTGTATATTCAATATAAAAATGAATCACACTCTACGAAAACTATAATATATTGAATTGCAGAAATCAAATAAGTAATTATCGACATGTAAATTTATTAGCTTATAATATTGGGGCTGTAGTTTTTCCATACACCAAATGATTTGGCACTGGCTTCAGAATCTTATAAGTTAATTTTATCGGACTACACATATGCGATAAGTTTCGTTAGAATTGATTACCGGAAAGTGTGTCAAATTCAAAAACTATTTCTACAAATTTAGGTGGAACTACCCAAGAGGCCTATACAGTACAAAAATAATCATTAAAATTCATCAATGTAAAGTACCTGTGAGGTACTTTACATAAGCTCTAATATAGCCGCCTCACGTACATTAATTTTTACAATGATACATAATGAAAATATAGAAGGAAAGTTCAATTTTGTTAGTTTATTACAATTTCTTAAAATTATTAACGACTAGCGATGCGTCCCGGCTTGCAGGCTTTGGCGGCAAATTGAGTGGACCTACTCTAAACCGACGATCATGTATATGTTCATATATAGATGTGAAGAAATAGAAGTGTGCAAGGATCGTGACAAAAGAAGTCTGTAGTCACTTCCCTTTTTTGTATCCCTTTAGGTGACAGGTGTGAGAGTTTATATTACTTTTGTTTTTAAATATAACAACTTTTAAAAAATAAGGAGACAAATTTGACCTACATATAATGCGTATATTCTAGAATTATACAAAAATAGTAATTCCTTTTACTTTTAGTTAATTTGCTTTAAAATAAATCTGTATATATTTTTATTTCACCTTATTTAATTACTAAAAAGTTATTGATTTTTACTTTGGCACACTTAAGCACTTAAATTTCATATAGGAATGTAAATTGATTAAAAAGTTTTCGGGATCATTGTTAAAAATATAGACAAAGAATTGCAATGACAATTGAATTTAATAAGATCGATCAACAAATTATTTGTGTTTCAAAATATTATGCATATAAAATTTGTTTTTATTGTTTGGATCGCCATTGCATTGTATCAAAACATTTTAATTACAATAAAATATTAAGAATGGTATATTAAAATGTTTTAATCAAATGCTGTCATTAACTAAGTAAAAGTAAATAAACAAATTTCATCGCGTTTAACTTCACCTTATTCAAATACTCAGCATATCAATATTTTGCACCTTTGCTATGTAGCGCGCACTGTTAAAGAGAAATTAAGATTATTAATATTTTCGAGTGCAATAGCCAGCCCAAGCATTTTAAGCTTATATTATTCGTTACACTACCTGACTACACTAAAGTTGTGAAATTAAAAATTTTGTACAACCAACTTCAATATAAATAAAATGAGAACATCATCAATGTATTCGAAGTCAGTTAAACACGCATTATTGAGGACAACTCAAAAAGTCAGATCTTGACCAAATTTATAAGGGACTACATGCGAAGCACCAGCTTTCAAATAAAAAGAATAATCAAAATCGGTTCACCTAGAAAAAAGTTTTGAGGTAACACACATAAAAACAACATACTGTGGAATTGAGTACCACTTCCTTTCTGGAGTCGGTTAAAAAGTGCAACTATGTCTCCATGGTTTACAGTGGTATAATTATATTTGGATCTAATTATAGTAACAATATGATGATGGTATCCACTTAACTGCTCTATTAACATAATATGTTTTTAACCATTCATTGAATTTCAAATCCTTCTAAGCAGAAATCGGTGATATTTTGTGATCTGATCTACCAAATCTAATGTAATAGTCGGAAACATCCCAAACATTATTACGGAATGCCGGATTCGTGGAGCTCTGAGTATTCGAAATGTCACGGATTTTTAGTTTTTTATTAATTAGGTTTGATCTAATAAATCACGTCACCCTCATAGAATTGAAATAGAATTATAATTTATAACCTTCTATACTTTAATCATAACGAAAAAGTTGAAGTAGTTTCATTTTGTTAATTTTTCATCGTAATATAAATTGCATCTTTTACAACTCACTTGTCACAATTTGATAAATTTATTTCTTTTTATGTCTAGGTCGAAGCCTCATTATTTAAATTCTATTTAAACAAAAGGCAGTGGGAAAATGCGGATGGATTCAAGTCGAGAATTAAACGCGATAAAATCTGTAAAATTCATTTTATATGATGTATGCTTTTAAAGTCTTTATGGATTTCTAATGATGTTCTACTTACGAGTATCAATATTAAAACATTTTAAACACACGATAGCGTCAACCATGTAAATGACAATATATTGAATGTAATAGTTATAAACAATATACTTAGGTTAAGACTAACGCCGGTATTTAGTGAATTCACCTATACATATTATTATTATATTATTATTTTCATTCAGTCTACTCCATACTATGTTACACAAATTTCGACATAGTAGAGGTTGAGTTTTAGCCCGAAATTGTCTCTAAATACCGGCCTAAGTCTTAAGCTTTTTGTTACTATAGTATTTTAGTTTGTACATTAGTTGTGATGTGTTGGAATGAAACTCCTACAGAAACAACAAACTTGTTTGACGGAATTTTTTTACAGACATATTTAACAGAACCTATATTGCAGATAAATTTAATTTATTGTACATTCTTTACAATTCGTTTGATATTGCTCTATGCGCGTATTATAGATACAAAATAAATTTATGTACACGCAACTACAAATTACTACCATTTTGCTTTAGCATTTTAAGTGGTGTAAATCAAACTCATATACTCATACTTCATGAAATAATATGAGACGTTTATGAAATTATGGCATATTAGTTTTTTTTTTTAACCACTGCTCTGGTGTGTTGTGTCTAATTATATAAATTAATGCATGTGTTAAAGTTTTTACATTTTATGAGTACCTAAAAATGTACATACAGTAGAATCCCGATTATCCGAATCGAATAAAACCAGGGGTATTCAGTATAATCGAAAATCCGGATAATCGATTTGAAAGTCGAACTAACAATATTTAAGTTTATAGCAATTTTTATTATGTAATGGGTTTTACATAAGTCTTTTAGACAATAAGATAAAAAAATTATGAGCTATAACGATAATGAAGTTCATAATATCTACCTACATATTATGTGACTTAACCGTTTTGATTGGAAATAACTTGTTATTGATCTTTGAGGTAATTAATCACATATTTTCATTGCAACCAAGTCCCTGATGCGCTTCAGTTGTAACAACTGTACTGTATGGGATCCAATTCGTTTTGTCTTTCAAACCACTTAAAAGCATCATTTAGAGCTTCAAAAGCTTCTGCGTGAGATGGTACTTGACATACATCCCCAGTTTCAGTCTCTTCTTTATCTTCTCTCTATTTACTATTCAAATCGTCAATGATTTCTTTACAGTTAATATTTGGAATCCAGCGTCTCCCCTATCACAGTTCAGCCACTCTTTGATATTCTCTTTATCATACACTTCACCAATGCTAAGAATTTTCATTGCTTCTGTCATTTACGTCAAATCTTATAATTCTTGAAAAATCTTATAATAATCTTGAAATCGGTATAATTGAAGAATTAAATGGCGTTAATTTCAATAATTTATTCCATGTCCTTTTTAATGTTTGCTATATTCCACAGAGTTCCACGCTTCTACCAGCATACAAAAATAATATTTAAAATTAATTTCCTTATAAAACTTTGACATCGTTTCTATTTCAGTGTTATCTGCTGACAAAAACGACGCCGAAGATGCTTTCTGTATAAACGCTTTAACGTTTTAATGACACTTTGATACATAGGTTGCAATATCGATGTTACATTAGGGGCAAAAACTTAACTATAAACTTCAAAATTTTTTCGACTTAGTGTTTCAGCGGCAGGGTGCGTTGGCACATCTAACAACAACAATACATCGCTCTCTTTTCCTTCATCCTTTTGAAATTTCTTCACCTAAGGAATAAATGTTTTTCATACCAAGGAAGAAAAATATCAGTGTTCATCCACGCTTTTTGTTGGTTAGTGTAAGTTTTTTTTGATTTACCAATAAGTAGCAGTGGCAATCGATGTGTTCCTTGAGCGTTCTCGTAAACCATAACTGTAACTCTATCCTAACTCACTTTGTGCCCAGGTGCTGCATTTTGACGACGCGATGCTAATGATTTGCTTGGTAAAGCTTTCCAATTAAGACCTGTTTCGTTCGCATTGTATACAAAATCTAAATCGTTTTCTTTTCCATTTAGAAATTCCTTTAATTCGTCAACAAAAAATCGGCTGTGCTGCCTTACTTTGTCTTTAAGAGACAACACTACTCTTTTTCGCTTGGACATTTTAGATTTCCAATGCAAAACGTTAACAAATATAAAAGACAACCTATCAGTTTAGCGCTATCAAAGAAAATGAAACTATGTATAAGAAACACTATCGCGCAAATAAATGAGAGCGGGAGTACACAGGAATAAACTCGTCGTAACAAGTCTCATTGCGCCGTCAAAACATTTTTAAATCGGCAATAAAAACCGTGACGAATGAGTTCGGGTAATCGATGTTCGGATAATCGGGATTCTACTGTATTATCTTCGATTTCCGTAAATGCGTTTCAAACGTAGCCTTTACATACTAAATGCATTGTAGAGCTATATATATTAGAAGTTACTAGAAATATATTAACTAATTTCTAATCACATATACACATATCTAAGAAAAATATATCCTGGGTGTAACTGGCAGAGGTAATGTTTCAACTCCCATAGTTTTCAGTTTTCATTTGTGCCATTTGTCTCTGCAATAAATTTTTAGTAGGGTTAATAGTCCCTCACAGACAAACACAAGAAAAAGTGTTATTTACAATTTCATAACAACAAAGACAGGTAGACGGAGCTCGGCGTACATTTCAAGTGACGTCGAAACCAAGCTCGACTTATTGTAGGAATACAATCACGCACACATTTACATTGAGCATCATGTGTGCGTCCAGTAGTGGAATTTTAAGGGCTGTTAAAATAAAGAAGTAAAGATTGAGTACGGTTTCGGCGTCACATGAAATGTTGCAGTGCTCTCTCTATAATCCTATAGTATCATAAATGATTTCCATTTTATAAATAACTAGTGATCCGCCCGGCTTCGCACGGGTTATTCGGGTCCAAATGTGAATATAAACTAAAACTGAACTGAATATAAAAAAAAAAATCATAAAAATCGGTTGGTTGGTTTCAGTCTATAATTGACATAGGTAGAAACATTTTTTATTTAATTTAAATAGATATATTATTATTGATAAATTAATCTTATATATAGATAACTAAAATCGTTTTTTTGGTCGAGCAAGTAGATGAGTTTGTATATTTGGAATGTGTATTCAGCAGGGATGGGAGATATGAAAAAGATATAGAACGACGAGTAAACGCAGGAAATAAAGTAAATGGGACTCTAAACTCTATTGTGAAAAGTCAGAATGTGTCAAAAAAGGCACGTATGGTAATTCAAAATGCTGTGTTAGTCCCTACCTTAATGTATGGTGAGTGAAAGTTGGATGTGGCATGAGAATGGGCCAAATTAAGAGTACTCTTAACCGACGAGCATGTATGCGTAGGTATATGAATGTGGAGGACGCAAGAGAGATGTCAGGATCGTGCCAAATGGAAGTCTGTAGTCTTTGCCTATGTTTTTTTAGCTGCTTTAGTATAACAAATGAACAAAAAACAACAGTATATTTACTCTTACTGAAGCTCGTAGCTATTAAGACGACACCCCGACCAAAACCTTTGCGTGCGTTTTTCAGAGACTATTATCTCATTATTTATGAGAAATAAACTACATCTAAAAAGCTCATTATTAATGTTCGATATCCTATCATCACATTCCACGTTCTAATTTGTTTTTATGTCAAATCAACTATTAAAAAATGACAAATTATTGATTACATGCATCTGTTCCTAAAGGCAACATTCTAATCATTTGAGGATTACACTAATGAATAGATAATTTAAAAATCTATACATTATTCACGTTTTATTTAATTTCTTAAGTTCGTCTTTCTTTTTTAATTGAGATAATTCCAAAATTTGGGTGTATTTCTTACGCGATATATTTTAGCGACAGCGCGTGAATTGTATAGGACCGAACGCTCAAGTTCGTTCGCTAGGGGTAACGCCTTAAACGGCTGAACGTGTTTTGTGTGTGTGTGTGTGTGTGTGTGTGTGTGTGTGTGTGTGTGTCGTCTTTCTCTGTGTGTGTGTGTGTGTGTGTGTGTGTGTGTGTGTGTGTGTGTGTGTTTTTTTATTTAAAAGCAGGTTTTCTAGCGGTTTTTCTTAGGCATGTTTTATCAAAATCGGTTCAACCGTTTGAAGATCATCAGCTTTTTTGTTTCGGGTTTTTTTTAAATGTGAATTATCTAAAGTAAATTTACGTGCGCATGCACACGCATCATGCAAAAAAAGATGCATCAAAAATACATATATAAGTAGTATATGAGAAAGTATGTATAGAGGCAATAAGTCCAGTGTTTCAATACCATTAGTGTTCATTTGTGCTACTAAAATAGTGAATACTTTATTCAAATTTAATTTTAACTAATTTTGTGTGCCCATTCATGTTTACATGTTACAACAATATACAACAATAGTTGTTTTGTTAAAATTCCCATTTTTGGTAGGGGAACACTGTTTTCAAGAGGAGGGCCGTGACTAACGCCTTGGCGACGTCGTCTCCGAGTGGAATCCACCCTCTCCCGATCTCGCTCAAAGCCTCCTTCTGAATCCGTATATAGACCCTCGAGTCCATCTCCGCCAGTATATCTAGTGGTGGAAAACGAGACAAAATTGTCAAAGAATATAGTGCGGTATCCTCGTACGATTCGTATGGCCATCCAGTTCTACAGCGTCGAATGGCCAGCCTTTTTGCCCATACAGGCACTCCATACAGAGCTACGGACCGTATAACTCACGCGTAGAGACTACGCACTTCCTCCGTCGGTCCCCCTAGATTGGGTAGCAGTCTATTATACATGGCACCCGCCACCCTTTCAATCCGGGGGACTAGGCGCTCGAAATGTTCTTTGAATCCTCAGCCAGTCCAGGTGGAGGCCTAGGCCAAAGACTTTGGAGCCCTGGTTCCGCTCGATCGCTTCTTCAATACGAGCTGTATTAAAGTTGAGTAAGTCCCGCCGCATGCATTTGGAGATCTGTCCGTTCAGTTGCCTGTATGCTATCAAATCTGCTGAAGACCACAGCTTCATCGCCCGTCTAACAGTCATGAGATTTAAAGTATGATCGGAGTTTTCGAGTTCTTCTGCGATGGGTCTTACAGAACTTAGCTCCGATCGCATGGACAGTTTCCACAAGCTTGTCATCCATATCGTCCACTTCATTACAGTCTTCTAGGCACTGAAAAAGATTTTGTAACTCAAGCTGAAAGTTTTCAGGGCTTTGGATTAGAGCATGAGGGGGACGGAGCGTTGACTTCATTAATTGTGACCTCTCCAACTTCACATTTATGTCCAGTATGCCTCTCACTATTCGGTGATTGCTGCCAGTTTTCATCCTTGCGATCACTGAGACATCACTGAACAGTTGTCGTTTGGTCGTAATAATGAAGTCAATCAAATTTTTTGTCAAACCGTCGGGGCTTGACCAGGTCCATTTTCTGTGGGACCGCTTTTGGAAGAAATAATTCACCATGAGTCCCTCTTTCTTCATAAAGTCGGTCAGTTGCTGGCCACTTGGGTTTCATTGCCCCATTCCGAATTTCCCTACTTTCGGCTCACCATTATCTCTTGTGCCTAGTTTTGCGTTGAAGTCTCCCATTAACACCGTATAGCGGGTTTTGGAGGAATCCATGACTAGATATATCCTCATAGATTTCCTCCACCTCCTCATCGGGATGTGCCGAGATTGGTGCGTAAAACTGTATAACCTTCAGCAAATAACGTTTGGTGATTCTGAGTATAAGGTAGGTAACCCTCGCACAGTGTGTTATTTTGCCTTAGTTGTGGACATGTTCATTTTATTTTTTATTTTTGTAGATTAAACCTTACTAAAGCATTTCAAAAAATACCCGTTTTGATATTTCACTTCATTTAGAATATGTAAATAATCTATTGAAAGGTCACTGACCTTCTTGAAAAAGTTTTTTGTCTGTATTTCTTGAATAAAGAAAATTTCAGTCCCTCGTAAAATACAAATTAAATTGTTGGTTTGAAATATATTCAGTGTATAAATTGCAAGTCCCTAACGTCACGGGGACGAGAATAAATAATTATTTACAATATTACAATATTATCTATTTACGGATCGCGTATTTTTTTTTGTTTGCGTAATATACTTATGTACCTATAGTAACTTCAACGTGAGAAAATTCTAAATATGTATCTATCCAGATCTTGGAGATATTTCGTTTCTAAGTTTTTATATAATTTCTATGGGAATAGGATTGTCACAAAGTAATAAATATTTAGGTTGATTATTTTAATCCATTAAATCAATTATGCTAGCAAATGCTAAACGCTTATGATATATCCTCGCTATCAGGTTGAATTACCATTTCGTCAGTCGTCAGCGTGATATCATTTGCTTCAAGCCCTTCTGATTCTAATTGGCTGTAGTGAACATTGTCTGTTGTTACACTTAAGAGTTAAAGCACTGATTTCGGTAAGGGCAAAGAATTTTTATGTTTATGACGTGTACTAAATGTTAACCAGGATATATAAGGATCGTATGATTCTAATGCACGGTGAAATAAAGTCTAAAATTGTGGTTTTTCGGTCCAATTTCCGGGTACGGTGTGGTCGATCATAGCGCCAGTATTTTTTTCTTGACCCGCCTGCTTGCTCGGATAACATACCTATGGGTAACGTGCTAGCGTCTATGATTTGCCAGCCATGCATTAATATTTTGTGCATAGTGACGGGACATATAAAACAAATTTTTTTTCGCAGCTAGACTTGCAAAAGTAGTCAAATTTTGCGGCATCTATATTAAGCCACTCGACAGCACTATTAAAATAGTATGGAAGTCATCCACCAGCCAGGTCTCTATACCGAAGATGTCTGATAGTGCTGTTCGTGCTGTGTTTCCATCATTGTTTGTCCCCGAATTTGGACGAACAACATCAACCAAAAGTGACCTTTTGTCTCTTATTTCAATCTGTATTCTTTTTTTCGCTCTTTTTTGTGGCTTCAGGTGATTTTTTAGTAACTCTCCACTTCATAACTGCTGGGTCATTTTTGTACCCCAAGTGAAGTAAGAACTCAAAAATTCTTATCCAGGCATGTAAGGGGCTTAATCCATGACCTAAGGCTTCTGAATTTACGGGTTTCTGAATTCTGAATTTACAACATCCAACTCATTAAACTCTGTTGCTGTAGCTCCACAATAAACACAACGTAATTGCGAAGTCGTTCCCGTAATAACGTTTACCATCTATGACAGTTAATTATAATTTGGGATTTAATATTATACTTTGACCTTCATCAGTTTCCGCTGATGTTAATTGATTTATTTCAGCCTCTACCCGATTTTTTTCTTCGAGAATAAGTTATTTCGTCTCATTTCGATACTGGATGCTCAACGGAAGACAAAGCCTGTAGGATTGTGAGCTTGGGTTAGACCACAACACGAAGCCGTCATTCGTTTTTAATTGTAAAGGGATATACGTTGTTTTAAATAAACAATTTTCATTTTCGTTATCATCAACTAAAAGCTTTTGTTTATAAAAAGACTGTCCTGTACTGCCATCGAACCTTCAAGAAGCCTCAAATGCACAATATACTATGTTTTTCTGCTTTTAACCTAATTTTATGATTCGGCGAAATGTGTGTAGTAATAAACTGTGAAGTGAGACACTTGCTTCCCTTTCAGTAATAACAATTTCTTCTTCAGGATAACACATGTTTTTTGCTACTTTTCATTTATAATTAGGAGGATAAGCTAAGAAGCCTCTCTTTCAAATCTTTCTGTATGATAGTGTAATCTTCCACAGTTAGTTGCCTATCAATTACGAAAGAAAGTGTTTCATCAGGGTATAGGGATTGGGTTCAGCTTTCGCTTTAATGGATGTTGCAATCTTTTATGTCGAGTTGGACTGTTCAGACACTCACTGATTACGAACTCTAATCCTTGAGCAGAGCTTTTATTAAGTTTTCCTCGCCTATTTCTTCAGTTACCATTTTCGATATATTTTTGACTGCGGCTGATCTTGAAGCGACTCTTCGAAACTCTTTCGAATACGACACATTTGACGGAAGCTCCTTTCATTCGAAGCAGATGGAGTGTCATTAGATGTTCCGGGTATTGATTCCTTTTGGGGGTTACTAAATATGTTTGAAGTTGATGGAGCTTCATATGAAGTTTCAGGTATCGGTTCTGTCAGCAGCATATCGCTTAAGGAACCCATACTTGATCGTTCTGGTTCTTGAGGTCTTAAAAGGTAATGAGAAGGGAAACTATCAGTATTTTATTTAATTCTATAGGACTCTTTTCTATTTTGATTGATATTGGTACATCGAAAATTGTAGCAAACCATTTCTCATTCTTTTTACTAAAGCTTTTAATTTTTTGGAATATAAATATTACCTTTGAGGCTTTTATTTTGTACATCAAGATTGTTAGCAATACCTGTTGAATACAATGCATTTAAAATAATCATTGTCCGTTCGTTGATTTCAAGGTCACCCGGTCTTTGTTTTGTCCCATATTGTCGGGCCTATTCAACCAAAACATTATAAATCTCCACTTTCGTAAGTGTATTCGGATCGTCGGTAATCATTGCCACTCGCCGACCAGCATGAAAGTTGGAGCCTTCATGCCCCCCTTGCATTAAATCCTCTAGTCGGGGCCCAGACGGATATCCCCCAGCTGGATGGGCCAGTGCCTGCTGAAGCAAAACAGTGCCATGGGTCTTTGACGGCTGCATGACACCTCACCCCTGATATTATGTATAGGCTTCCCCAGATATTATGTATAGGAATTTGGTTTTTGCATTTGCCTAACGAGGGCGGACCCCTTCCCAGTCCCACATAATATCCTTCATCTAAAATAGATTAGATTATAAACAAAAGTAGTGATCGAATTCAACAGTAAATATTTTTTTTTAATTTTGACCTGAACTTTCTGCACTATTTTTCCTTATAAACATGTTAACAATGTACGTCACAATTTAAACCGGCGATTTAAATTTACCTAATACTTGAGTCATAAATAATGGATCACAATCAGTAATGTTTGCACGAAGTATTGTATGGTGCACACAGGCTTGATTGACAACCCTAACCCACAATTTCAAAGTTCCATATTTCCGAAATCCTGGGTTTATTGCATCTGTTTTTTTTTTTGTGGCGACATTTATTATAGTGATCAACATTTAGGCATTTAAAAAAACCGACCGTGAAGAGAATCGCCGAAAAAAAATAATTAGGAAATCATAAAAAAAAATATTCTCGCCTGATTGAGCAAGATTTTTAGTTTTCAAGAAAAAAAAACAATGGTTTCTATAATGAATTCCTACAATACCTTAAAACATTTAGTGTAAACAAACAAATCCAAAAACGAGATAATGTGTTTCTAAGGTTTTTAAGGAATTTTCCCGATTTTATTAATTTCTCTTATACTATAGTAATTAAGAGCCGGGAGAGTTTTAATAAAAGTTTATTAGTAGTAAGATTATTAGCTTTCCAAAAAACATATAAAATGAGCATATCCGCAACTAAGGCAAAATAACACACTGTGCCTCGTCAACACACTCCCATTAACGAGAGACCTGTGGACGATAAACCCTACACCTCCTTGGGGAGTTGCAGGATTCAAGGATTACCATATCCTCCCTTTCTCTTCCGACGTCAGATAATCCTATAATATCCTTGCGCAACTTGTCTATCTCTTCTTCCAGCTCCAGGATATTCTCATCAATCCTCAGGGTGCGTATATGTTGCCAGGTCGAATCGTCTAAAGTGGTGGCAGCCGAACCTCCACCGAAGAGTCTTAACACCCCTTGCCCCGCCGTTACCATCGTCGCCACCGCAGCCAGGAATAGCGGGGCCGCCGGGGACTGGGGGCCGTTTATTTGTGTCGTTGCTCATGGAGGCTATATTGCCATAGTTGCCACGCATGGCGAGCAGGTTGGTAACCGCCGTTTTTTATTGCTTTTCGTTGTTATCAGAAAGATGCTGCTTCCTATCTTCCGCCTCAGTTTCCCTCTGTCGCCTCTTACAACACCCACCTGAAGATATGGGGTATTGGATGTCATTACCCGCCACACACAATAATCATCTACACATTAAAAAGTTATATTTTGCAAAATAAATATCAAGTTTACATTCGAAAAGTGTTAAGTGTCCCTAGAGAGGTGCCGACATGCATTATTATGAGCACTGCCCATTTACGCTCTATTGGATTAAATCTATCTAATATAAACATTATTAGTAAAATAGAGAGTATTAAAGATTGATTTTTAATAGAGCACCGAGTTAAACCAAGAGCGGAATATAAAAACATAAAAAAATAAAGTTGTTCTTAGTCAAAAATCGTAGGAACAAATAATTTACCTTCTCCTTTACCTGGAACATTCTTAGCGATAAATTCACATAGCTCTGAATATGCTTTATCCAAATTATCATTGAGAATGATAACATGGAAATTCCCAGGCTGTTGACCTGAAAAAAATCAAATTCAAATAAATTATAATGCATTACACATAACATAGACCATAGTCGATAAATAAATGTTAATTTATTTATCGTATAATATCTACCATATTCCCTTTTAATAATTAATCCTGCTTTTTTATCTTTAGACTACCTTATTTAAGTACATAATTTATTTGAATAGTTCTAATTTGCATTGTATTGATTGGATGATATTTGTACTCCAAATTAACCCATAATTGTACAAACAATCTGTGAATGTTATGTACACTTGTTATTGATATACATATCAGAGATTATAGAAATGTGTATGTTTTCGTGATTGTCGTATATGTGTATTGTAAGTGTACTTGTTAAATAAAATTAAAAATAAAATTAAAATAATTTAAAAAAGTATAGATGTTAATAATAATAATCTAATATTATCTTCAGTGTGAAGATAAGAATTTTCGTTCAGTGTGGCGTAGGCCTAAGTCCACAGCTGAACATAGGGCTCACCTTATATAGCTAAGTAAAATGTACCGAGGCTGCTGGTGTACTGAATACAATAAGTAAATGAATAATAAATGAAATAATCGCTACCTTTGGAAAGTGGATTTGCAATTATAACCCCAGATCGAAATCAATCATAATAATACACACGAATGTCTATCAGAGAGCGTGTGGTTGACTAACTGGCGTTGAATATAGTTTTTTAGCTGCGCCAACTTGATTGTTGTTTGCGTGGTGCCATTTTTTGAGCGTCATACGTCTTCCATCGTTTTTAGAGTTTTTTGGCATTATACCGTTTATACAAAAAAATCTAAAGAAGACTATCGTTTTTGGGCCCACTAGAAATTTTAACGACCCTCAATAGTATTACACAAAAAAAAAACTATTTATTATTATAAACAGCTCAAATATTTTCTGAAAATCTAAACGGAATCAAGAAATAAGAATAAAAAGAGCAGTTTTGTTATTCGTGTTCAGGTCTTTAGTTCTGGTAATGTAATATTAAAAAAGAAATTGTATTAGAGATGGACCAACTCAGAAGAAACTCAGAAACAGAAACTTTTTATTCAATGTAGATACTTATTGAAAGTCACTTTTTTAATTTACCACTGGTCGAATCGAGTTAACTCGAGTTGAAATTCAGATAACTCGAATTGAACTCGAGTTACGCAATATTTGTTCTTCCATCCAACACAATTACTAGGGCACACTGAAATGATCGGGAATCGAATTGAGAAAATAAAACCTTTTTTAGAATTTGAATACTGGCCTCTTAGAATCTTGATGACATTCAAACAATTTAAAAAAATGTTTAAAAACAAAACCTATGTTGATTTAAAGTTGACACGTCGCATCGTTAACAGAAATGGAGCTCATGCACGAACATTTCCGTGCCATAATTTATCACAATTTTCGTCGCGGTGTGTCGCTCAGCACTGTTTCTGTTAACAGCGATCACGCTTGAAAACATCGCAGCTGTGTGAACTATTATATTAGATGACCGTCATGTGACATACGAGCAGATTCTGGCTGTTATCAGTATCAAAATGACTGCAATTCAGTCGATAATACATAATCAGCTGTGTGTGAGAAAGCTAGTTTCTCGCTGGGTTCCTCACAATTTGTCCGAAGAGCAAAAGGCGGCTCGTGTAGATTGGTGCCGGTATACTTCATAATAATTCATAAAGTTCAGTTGTAGAGAATCTATAGGGCTTTAAGTACATAACTTTAATTAAGCATCTTTGAGCCCTTTCAAGCTCATGGAACCTAGTTTTTGCTACACCACCTCATATAGGAATACATATATAATATAATATATACTATAATATAATATATAATAGCCCCATGAAATCGAGTACGAAACCTAAGTTGCTAGTGATGTCTTATGTCGATATTGTAACGGTCGATTAATACACTTATGTTTGTGCTGTGTGTTAACCTGAATTAATCAAAATTGTGTTAGGCTTTGTATATTACAAACAGTGACGAACTGAAAATTAGGTAACGCCAAGACTTCCCAACAGAAAGAAACTGTGGAAAGTTTGGATGTTAATTAACTAATCTTGAAGACTTCTTCTTGGTTAATTGTAGTCGCGCGTTTTTTTACATATTTATATTGATCTTTGGTTTATAATGTTCTAGATCGTACGTAACTATAAAAGAAAAAAAGATACTTAATACTCAGAAGGAAACCGCGAGAGAGCTGTAGAAACAATAAGAAAAAAGAAACAAATTAACAGTTACGCAGCTGCAGAAAAGTTTGGCATACCTAGGTCTACGATCATTCACCGTTTGTATGGAATGCGAGGGACCAAGCAGTCAAAGCCAGGAAAACCGAAAAAAAAATCATCAACGACATAAGGGGTGATACTGTTGTTACTTCCTCTTATTTTTGTTTAACAAAACTAAATATACCTCATACGATTACATACATCAGAACCGGTACAGTAGGAAAATATTTCATAAAATTAATTTAAATTCTACTCATACACAAATACATCGATGGCTTATAACTACTCGCAATTTTTCTTGCATATTGTGTAATTAATGTCACTGTGATTTTTATAATAAATTCTATTTAACTTCAGTCGTTTATTTTTATCACATTTGCCACTCTTAAGAAAACGATACTGTGTTGTGTCCCGACCTTAGTTCCACTACAAAGAGTTACATTTACACCCAATATCAACAAAAGTTTGATTTAAATTAAATTCAACCATATTATCTCATCACAGAATTCAAAATCCCATAATATTTCTTTAAATTCAGTTTCCATTTAATTTCTGACTTCGAAACTCTAGAAACACATCATCATTCATCATCATTACAGCCCTTCACAAGTCCACTGCTGAACATAGGCCTCCCCCAAGTAATGCCACAAAGCACGGTCCTGAGCCACCTGCATCCATCGACTTCCTGCGTATCTTACCAGGTCGTCACTTCATCTAGTGGGGGGTTTACCTACACTACGCCTACCGGTACGAGGCTGCCACTCAAGAACCTTTCTTCCCCATCGGTTGTCGGTTCTTCGAGCTATATGGCCGGCCCATTGTACTGCCACTTCAGCTTACTAATCCGTTGGGCTGTGTCGGTCACTATGGTTTTACTGCGGATATCCTCATTTTTGAGTCTATCACGCAGAGAAACTCCGAGCATAGCCCTCTCCATAGCTCGCACCTTAAGCGTCCTCATACGGCCAACAGTGAACGACCACGTCTCAGATCCGTAAGTCATCACTGGCAACACGCACTGGTTGTACAATCAGAGATTGAGGTATACCTGACGAGAAGATGTGTCGTAATTTCCCGAACGCTGCCCAGCCGAGTTGAATCCGTCGATTGACCTCTCGGTCGAAGTTGGACTTACCTAGTCGGACTATTTGTCCCATGTAAACGTACTCGTCAACAACTTCGAGCATAGTGCTCCCAACAACTACCGGCATAGGTGTGACATGGACATTAAACATGATCTTTGTTTTGTCCATGTTCATCTTAAGTCCTATCCGTTGGGGTCATTGAGCATAGTGCTTAGGTGCTCCACCGATTCTGCCATAAGGACTATATCGTCGGCAAATCGAAGGTGAGTGATGTACTCGCCATTGATGTTAATACCGTATCCTTTCCAGTCCAGTATCTTGAAAACATCTTTGTTTTTCACGGGTGACAATGCATCTGCATTTTGATTTGTAATCGAGGATTGAAAACGTCTTCCAATGCAGCAGTGAAGAGTTTCGGGGATATAACGTCATCCTGTCTTACACACTCTCTGCAGTTGGATAGGTTTCGAACTCTGGTTCTGTACTCGGATAGGCATCGTAGCCCTACTGTACAAACAATTCAGCACTTCAATATACCGACAGTCAACTTGGCACCGCTGAAGGGACTGTAGCACCGCCGAAATTTCGACGGAATCAAAGGCTTTTTCATAGTCCACATACGCCAGGCAAAGTGGCAGATTGTACTCTTCGGTCTTCTGTACAATCAGTCGCAGGGTATGTATGTGGTCTATGGTACTGAAGCCTTTTCGGAAACCGGCTTGTTCGGGAGGCTGGAAGTCGTCGAGTCTGCGAGCGAGACGATTCGTAATGACTCTCGAAAACAGCACGTAGACGCGGCTCAGAAGGGAAATAGGTCTGTAGTTCTTCAAGAGAGCATTGTCGCCTTTCTTAAGGTAGTCCTAGTCGATAGCTCGAACTAAATGGTGGGCGGGGTTAAAATGCATGCTATCTCAGCCGACATCACGTACGAAAGGGATAGACGCTGTGATGAGCACTGAGCAGTAAGAAGCTAGTGCGCATACTCATACGCACTCGAGTGACGCAATGCGCGACGGCGTCATCGCGTACCTACATATTGCGATTCATTTTAGAATAATAACATGAACTCAAACGGCAATTGTGAGCTTCTTGGCGCAGTGACTTAGCAATGAGTAGCTGCGCTGGGGGCCGCGGGTTCGAATCCCGCACGGAACAAATATTTGTATGGCCTACAAATAGTTGTTCCAGGTCTGGATGTTTGTCCTTGTGCAATTTATGTTTGTAAACTGCCTCCACGATAAGGAGAAAATCCTACTGTGGGGGTAACGTATTTTAAAAAGAGAAAAGAGAGAGGAAACAAATTGGTGTTATTATTATGAACCCAATTTAGTTGTTATTATGAAAGTTCTTATGTGAATTTAAGTAGATGTTGTTATTATATAATAATTTCATTGATTTGTTTTTACCTACTTTTTAACCGACTTCGAAAAAAGGAGGCGGTTCTCAATTCGTTGTTTTTTGGCTATGTATGTTCTGTTCCCCGATTTCTCGAAGATGCCTGAACCGATTTGGAAAATTATTTTTTGGTTTGAAAGAATATACTTTCCAGATGATCCTATGGTAATCGATGATAGTCAGATCAAGATATGATGATGGGATCTTGGAGAAATCGAACTCTTCAATAAATGACAGCAAATCAACCGCGATTGCTGCTATCGCGTATCTATGCATTCTTTACGCAACCACAAAGTATAATATCACG